ACATCAGCAAATGAAGGTCTCGAAAGCTTTCTCTTTTCCATGAGTAAGGCTGGGTTTACTCAGATGTTGCAGCTCTTTCCCAGTCCTATTTTGCGAGCCTTTTAGCTAAACAGACTATTCCTAAAGTTGCACGGTAATGTACCAAACAGTGTTTCTTTGCTATTCATAAGGTTTTCCCTGGCCAATTCTTCAGTGACATGGATTACATTTTTTAAGTTTTGCAAAAATTCTTGCTATCTTTTTCTAATCATTCCACTATCATGAACATAATAACCTCAGTGTCCCCTAAGCAAAAGCTCCCCTTTTACCTTTTCCTCTCACCCTTGTTAACTACTAATAGTCTTTGGTTTTTATATATTTGCTTATATAAATGAGGTCATAAACTATTCCTCTTTTGTGACTGATTTATTTCGTTCAGCATAATATTTTCAAGGTTCATCCATGCCATGGTGTGCATCAGGACTTCATTTCTCTATATGGATATTGTGTGTATATACCACATTTTGTTTACCATTCATCTGCTGATGGGACATTTCAGTTGTTTCCAACTTTTGTGATAAATGCTTCAGTGAACATATTTGTGTACATGTTTCTATTTGCTTTCCTGCCTTTACTTCTTCTTAGTATATACTTAAGATTGAGATTGCTCAATGTGGTACTATATTTGTGTAAAGTTATTATACTAACATATATAGCTTAGAGTGAATGTAACATATCTACAAAGTTCTAGACCTGGTGTTTGTTTACTTTTTTATTTTGAGAAAATTGCTTGTTAATTACATAGTAATATAAAGATCAGGAACTTTAGTAATAGTACTTTTTAAACATTGTCCTTGTATAATTTTTACTTTGCAGTAGAATAGATACTGCTAATGGTGAAAAGCAGTATGTCAAAATGTAAGAAATGTAACTTTATCTCAGGGTAAGAAAATGGACCTCCTAACATAGTGCCTAAGGCACTTGACTGCTAACCAGAAGGCTGGAGGTTCCAACCCACCAGCCACTCCTCAAAAGGAAGGTTGGGTAATCTACTTCCATAGTGATACTGCCTCAGAAACCCAAGGAGGGGTCGCTATGAGTTGGGTCCGACTTGATGGCACATAACAACAACAACAATGCTAGTTGCAGGAATTTTGTGTAAAAGTGATCCTGTTGCCAAAAATAAATTTCTGAGAGCAGTAACAGTTTTACAATTCTGTTACTAGGATTTTCCCTTAGGTTTTCTTAAATGATTGTTATTCTTTTTCAGTCATTATTCAATCTTTTGGAATTTAGAAGATTAGTCCTGAATTACAAGCCTCCATCAAATGCTCAAGATTTACCCCGAAACCAAAAGGTAAAATTATAAAAGATTTTTCAGCAAAGATATATAGCCTTTATATTCTATCATCTGTGATTGGTTTTTGGGCATTTACTTCATCAAATCTGGAGCTTAATGTTCAAATTTGAATGCCATCTCATTAATCTCAACTACTATAATAATTTCCTATGTTAGCCTATGTTAGTTTACTATAAATATAAATTTTTTTCATCTGTGTATCAGAATAGTACTCCTTTTTTTTGTATAATTCTAGTGTCCCACCCCCCCACCCCCCACCCCCGGTCAGATTGCATAGGTTGCAATTCAAGGTCTTTCTGAATTGTCTTCTAAAAAAATTGTGTAGAAATGAAATTTTTAAAAATTGATTCTCTAGATGAGCCCTTTGAAAGACAATTTTGCACTGGTTTATCTCTGTGCAGGAGCTCCTGACTTAGGATAGGTTTTTATTCTGATGACTGTTGTAAGTCAGTTCTAATATAAGTCAAGTGCATCTTTATTTATTTATTTATTTTTTAGTTTTCTTTATTATTGCTTTTATTAATCAATGTATTTATAAATCCAGTCTTTGTCTGTTGGTGTGAGTTAGAAACATTACATTTAAACTTAATATATTTTGATACATACTGCTAAAAGGGCAGGGAGACCGCATCTCCTGACTTCCTCTAACCCTACAAGAGGAATACAAAATCACCATCTGTAGCCCAAGGCCTATTCCTGTGGGCCAGACATGCTGCCTCCCTCCAGCCCTTGTACCAACCGTTCCTCCCACAACACCCACCACTTCTCTCCTAATTTCGATAATTCGCTGCAGTGGCTACACAGAACTCACAGATTACAGGGTTTATTAGGGATGCACCAGGCTACAATTCAAGTTCAGGAAGTATGCTCAGTCTCTCTCAGCCCACCGTCTCTCAGCCAACCGTCTTTCTCAGTCTCTCTCCCAGGAGTGTGTGTCTCTCGGTGTCTCTTTCTCAGTAGTGTATGTCTCTTGGTGTCTCTTTTTCAGCAGCGCATGTCTCTGAGCAACACGTCTTTCTCAGCCAGCAGTCAGGGAGACTTTTTGCCTTTAGGAGGGCCCCTTTTGAGCCTGGCAGAGTGGCTAAACTAACTTATCATTACATTAGAATTCTAAGCACCTGAGAGAGAGCAAACTTCGCAGAACATTGCTTTGTGCCACTCTCAACAGAAAAACCCCAGGTAGATAACTTTAACAATCAAGAGCTCATCAGTTGCTCACAGCAAATTCCACCATGGAGTTTACAAAGACTTATGGCTAGAAAAACCATACCAGGTAATTTACTAAACTGCACATACACACATAAAAAGTACACAGTTCATAAAAATTTACTCCAATAGTGAAGAAGAGTTGAATGATGTTGGCATTTTGTCAGTTGTGATAATAACTCCACTTTTGGAAGGTTCTAGATTGTGTGAATTTTCCCTGGGAATGGGGATGTTTCTAGTCAGAAAATTAGTGAGAATAGTATGGATGGTTCTTTTCTATTTTCTTTCATATATTTCATGGTAACATCTCATTGCTTCCCAGAATCTGCCTGTCAAATTTAACAAAGCAACCAGTGTTTGGATCCATGTTTTCAAGTAGCTAAGCCACTGATTTAGCTAACCTAATACTTTCACTGTAAAATCTGTTGACAACTCTCCTCCTTCTTCCTCATTACTTCTTTCTTCAGAATTTCTTTCATCTTCAAAATCCATTTAGTCTTGATCTTTTAATTCCCTTTCTTCATGTATGAATGTTCCACATTGGTGATATCAGGTTGTAAATTCAGTGTTCTTGCTGGATGGGTGATTTTGCTCCCAGTCTGTTTTATCATATTATCTGGAATAAATGCTTGGAGTGTATTCACATAACTCAGCAGTTCTTTTCCAAATCCCTTGCATACATCTTCCCATAACTTCCTCCAAGGAAGGTGCAGTATTCTGGATACACTGAAAAATATTACAATGAAGTGGTGTCAGTGTTGTCACAGTGAAGTTAGAGTCTTAATGGATGTAGGATGCATATGCAGTTCAATTGTCACATGTCATGAGAGCTGAATATTTCCCAACTTTCTAACCATTTTGACTCCCTGCTTGGAGATCAACACAGGTACTTCATTGTAGACAGGCCATCACAGCCTGTTTGCTAAATGGCAGTATTTTCAACAGTAAATCATAACATTTAACATCTGTGAGTGAACATCTTAACATCAGCAAATTATGCGCTGGACCATTATATGTAGTATGTGTTAATAATGGTAAGATGTACCAAAAAAAAAAGACAGTTTAAGTACAACTCAAATACGTCGTAATTCTGTGACTACCTGTAGTACAAATACATAACTTTTTTTTTTTTGTAAATTAGTATTGTTATATAGTCACGATATAATGTGATTGAAAACATAGAGATCAGAAATGTATTGCCTGAATTCAAGCTGTGGATCTAAAGAAAATTAATTTCTCTGTGACTCTATTTCTTCATCTATTAAATATAGACATGATAGTAATTAGACTTGCGAGGATGAAATAAGATAAAATATGGAAAGTGTTTAGAGGTTCCTGCCACATAGTAAGTACTAGGTATTAAGTATTACCAGTTATGCTTCTATTAGTTTTTTGAAAAATGAGACCGGTTTCTGTGCAGAGATTCATACTTAGTGGAAAAATTAGTTACGGAGTTGAAATTCTTGAGTGCAGGGCTTTTGTGATCTTGCCATAAAGAACTTGCAGTCCTAAAGTAGACTAGTCACGAAGATAATGATGTTAAAATTTTAAGTTTCAAAATAGTGGTGGACTTTGAGTGACCCATTGTTAGTGTATAATTTTTAAAAACCCTCATTCTGAAAACACATGACACATTATAATACAAACAAATGAAAACATGACTATGATTAATAACCAACTTTTCAGGAAATCTTTGAACTGTAACATGTCAGGTCTGGTATATATAAACCATTTTTAAAAAGGAACCAAGATCACCTGACAATTTTCTGCACCTTTAGAGAAATTATGCAAAACTTTTGTATCATTACAATTTTTACAATGCAACTTGTTTGACTTTCACCTTCCCTTACTGCAGTTTGTTCATACCAAAAATTCTCCCTTCTAATGTCTCAGTTGAAGTATATTTATAATTTACCATACATTATTTAGAATTATATCCACTTAAGTATTCATATATATTTTCAACTTTTATGTTCCTGGAGTTTAGTGCTTTTCAGAGCATTAATTTCTTTTATTCTTTAAAGTGCTGAAAAAGATTAGTTTTGTAATCTTATTTTAAAAATAATTGGATGTTCTGATGTGTATATTTTCAACAATAGCAAACAAATAAAGTAAATGATTAATATTGCCAAAACAACAACAAAGACAGTTGTGATAACTCATGCTTGTATACTGGTTTTTTTTTTTTGGATCAAGAAAATGTTTAGGTAAATACTCCAAAAAAACAAACTCACTGCCATCAAGTCGATTCAGACTCCTAGCGACCCCCATGGGGTTTCTGAGGTGGCAAATCTTTATGGAAGTAGATTGCCTAGTCTTCCTTCTGCAGAGTGGCTTTTAGGTTTGAACTGCCAGCCTTCTGGTTAGCAGTCAAATGCCTTAGGTACTATGCCACCAGAGCTCTTTAGCTAAATACTAGAGGAATGTGAGTACAATCTATAGAACCTTTGTAGAGAAGTTTGTTTCTTTTAGTGGAAGAACCATCCGTTCTGCATGTCCCTTTAGCTTAAGAAATTAAAAGAATCTGTCCCTTATAGTCTGAAAGACATTTATTTAGAAGAATGATATGCCATTTTATATGAGATTGTCCCTCAAATGAATTTTTTTCTGTGTGGCCAACTCCAAAATGAATCCTGGAACTTGAGTATTTGGCCATTGGAGTTTCACCTGATTTTCACATAATGGCATGGTCTTTGAAACCTACCTGTGTTGATAAGTGAGGAGTGGGTATATTTTCATTGTGCCTTTTGAAATCCAAAAGCATTTCTTAGCCATAGGAATTAGGTGAAAGCGAAACTATTTTATTATATTAAAATATATTAATTTTCTTTTATGCTTCTCAGAAGAATTTTACTTAATTTTCAAAAGTCATTACTTTTAACCTTACTAATTTGAAAAGAATGCCAAAAAAAAAAAAAAAACCCTACTGATGTAAGTACAGTGATAAATGATGAAACTTAAGGGAATCTTTAGTTTGTTTTGTGAAAGGAAGATGAGGAAATCTACTTTCATAAAGATGTATGGCCTTGAAAACCCTATGGGGCTCACTGTGAGTTAGAATTGACTTGATGATAGTGGGTTTGGTTTGGTTTTGAAGGGTATTTTTGGAAATTGTTTGCTGAATTGACATTCTTAATATTTATACTTTTATAATTTGTTCTTATAAGGCAGTTGGTAGGGGAGTAGGAAGTATCAGAAAAATCAGGAATTAGTTTGGTCTTTCTCATTGCTAATAAGAGTTTACTGTACTTAAAATAAAACCCCTGTTTTTTGTAAATTAGAATTCTTCTTTTAGACGTAGTCAGTGCCCTTTGTGGTTGATGTAATGGTTTGCAATTTTTAGATCTTATGCCAGGTGTTTGCATCCAATTTTATTCCCATCCACCTATTGCTTAGTACTCTTATTTTTTGGTTAGATTGTTCTGGGTGTCAGCTATTCAGAGATACAAATGCACATATACATACACATACACATACATAGCTCTGGTAGCATAGTACCTAGGGCACTTGACGCTAACCAGAAGGCTGGCAGTTCAAACCCACCAGCCACTCCTTGGAAGGAAAGTTGGGCAATCTACTTCTGTAGTGATACCGCCTCAAAAACCCTAAGAGGGGTCACTATGGGTCAGGTCTGACTCAATGGCACATAACAACAACAACAACATACATCTATAATTTTATATTTTTAATGTTGAGAATGCCAACTACGTAAACATGGAAATTTTTTCTCATCTTCAAATAGTATATGTGAGCTTTGTCAACATTTTTATTGCAAGAACTAAGTATTATAAGACATTATCGTCTGATTTATTGTCATAAAGCACTTCACTACGTATATGAATTGCATTTTTTAAAATTTCCTTTGTTTTAAAATTAATTATGACTGATAATATGGGTGGTTTTGTTGTTTTTGGAAGGTTTGGTTTATCCAATAACAGTTGTTTATTTTGTGTAGCAAACAGTGGTGGAAGAGGTATATAAATTCTTATCTCTGAGAACCTTACAAGCTTTCTGAGAAAAAATACAGCACTTAAGATGTCAGAAAAAAGTAGGAAGATGACATTTTAGTCTCAGGTCATTATACAGCAGTGGCTTTTGGTGATTAGTTGCAGAATGAGAGATGTTTGTCTCAGTAGGTGTGGAGTTTGAAGGGATCATTGACTTGGAGGTGTTTGGAAAGGCTAAGTGGAGAAGGAGGAATTTGTTTAAATGGGTTTATTGAGGTAAAGCACTTACAATAGTTGTAAGCACCCATTGAAAGTTGTTATTGTTGATGTCATCAGTAGCAGCTAGACCATGCTGAATGAAAGGACTATAATAAACATACTTGAATGACAAGTATATTCATGCCTGAGTACAGAAGTTCTTCATGATTTGCTATGAATATGTGGTTATGTGGTTGTTGTTGTTGTTATGTGCCATCGAGTCAAACCTGACTCATAGCGACCCCTCCTTGGGTTTCTGAGGCAGTATCACTACGGAAGTAGGATTGCCCAACCTTCCTTCCGAGGAGTGGCTGGTGGGTTTGAACCGCCAGCTGTCTGGTTAGCAGGCAGGTGTCTTAGCCACTATGCTGTGGTAGCTGTGCTGAAATTGTGAGCTTAGTACAGTTAGGTTCTCTGCTGTTTTCTTGCTTGACTTCTTCCTTGAGTCTCCTAGATGACACTAAACCCGATTTTGTTCTTACACTGATTATGATAGATGAGAGCTGAATTTTTTTTTGTTAAATTAAAATAAGTAAATGTTTACCAACAAAGCTTTATAATTTTCACTTAGGTTTTATTTTATTTTTTTATTAGGAGCATCGGAATTTGCCTTTTATGCGTGAGCTTCGGTATCTATTTGCACTTCTTGTTGGTACAAAAAGGAAATATGTTGATCCATCAAGAGCAGTTGAAATTCTTAAGGATGCTTTCAAATCAAATGACTCTCAGCAGGTAGCTTTGTTTTACTTCTGTGTATATTAACCATATTGCATTTTATTTAATCTGTTCCTTAAGCCAAGTGTCCAACAATACATGACAATATAAGATGTGGTAATTTAGCTTTATTAAAATTAACTGGAGACACTTGCAACATTGTTTATTTATAAGACTTCCTTTTAAATTAAGAAAAAAAATTATATTGAAAGTTTTATGATAAATGAAATTGTACGTCTCTTTATGATTAGAATTAATAGAAAACAATAAAATTAAAAATGCTTACAAATGAGTAATTAAAAATCTTCACAAATGTATGATCACTCAGTATTGATATAGTATATATGCTTTTGCTTTCCCTGTTTGTGCTGATAGAGGTACTGTTACACACATGCATATATGTTTACACACGACCATACTGTTCTATAATGTTTATGATGTTAAGAATGCCAACTATATGAACTGGGAAAAAAAATTGTCATATGTGCATAGTAAATATGTAAAGCCTCAATGAGATAGATTGTGATGCAGTGGCTACAACGATGGGCATAAACATAGCAAAGATTGTAGGGATGGTGAAGGACCAAGCAGTATTTCATTTTGTTGTACATAGGGTAGCTATCAGTCAGAACCAACTTGACAGCACCTAAAAAAACAAGAAAAATATGAGCTTTATCTTGTTTTTTCTTAATTGTAGAAGTTTACTGAAAGACATTAACTTTGTTATTATTTATTTGCCATTCTTTTTGTGGTGCTATTATGGTGGCTTTTTATCTATTTCAAAAAAAAATAATGTTGGAAAATTTCCTATAAAATATGTCTATAAATAAACCAACATTTTCACATTCAATATGAGAAACCAGAGAAATTAAAGAGGGAAAACAAAAGGGGGGAAAAACTAACAGTGAATAATAGCAACACTGGTAGAAAAATTTTCAGTGAGGAAGTTTGTAATTAATTTGGTTTTTAAATTCTAATTATATTGCATTGTGATTTGAGAATGTTACTTGTAATATTGTAACTAATGGAATTTTCTGATTTATTATTATTATTTTGAACCCTGGTAGCACTATGGAATTTTCTGATTTATTATTATTATTTTGAACCCTGGTAGCACTGTGGTTAAGTCCTCAACTGCTAATCAAGAGTTCAGTTGTTTGAAACTGTCAGCTACTCAGTGGGATAAAAATGTGGCAGTCTGCTTCTATAAAGATTTACAGCCTTGGAAACTGGCAGTTAACCTTATGTGTCAGCTTGGCTGGGCCTGGTTTTGAGTGGCTGGGCAGCTGGTTATATTATTCCCCATGATGAGACTAGCAATCAGCTCCATGGAGGAATCTGCCATGAGCAGCTAAGGGATGTGATGTGCTTCCAGTATATAAGGAGAAGCTTTGGAAATGCTCTCTAGCTTTTAGCACACTTGAATCCTGCATGTAGCTGAGTTGTTGTTCAGCAGCCTGCCATGTTTTCTGATGATCTTGGGACTGTTAATGGACTAGAATCAGTGTCCTACTATGGGACTGTGCAATTTTACTTTTCAGTCTTGAGTTTGTCAGCCTCAGCAGCTAGCAGCTGCTTTGAGTTAAGAGAAGCCTGCAGCTTCAGTGGGCCAGGAGCAAAAGGCAGAGCTGAAGCCCAAGGTCAAGGTGCTTTCACCCAACCCCTGGAGTCTGACACTTTGAAGTAGCACTTCTAGTCTCCTAAACTGTCAGAGAATATATCTCTGTTTACTTAAAACCACCTGTTTGTGGTATTTTCTGTTAGAGCAGCACAAAGTAACTAAAACAGAAATCCTGTGGGGAAGTTCTGCTCTGTCCTGTAGGGTTGCTATGAGTTAGAATCGACTCAATGGCAATGAATGGGTTGAGTTTGATTTTTAATATAGGATAAGTTTGTATGAGTGTTACATTAGTGTGCTTAAGAAGAGGATAGTGCCTCTGTTATTAATGTATAGAGTTTCATATAGATCTGTGGGATCTATCTTATTTATTATATTGATCCTGGTATATATGCTTATTTTTGTCCACTTTGTCTCTCTTATCCTGAGAGTGGTATGTTAAAGACTTATTTTTGTTGGTTCTTATATCTCCTGTACTTTCTGTTTTATATAGGTGGTTGTTTGTTATGTTATTTGGTACATAGATAGTCAGAACTGTTAAATCTTCATTGTGAATTGTGACTTTCAGCATTAAGTATCCTACTTTGTCTAATGAACAATGTTAACCCCTGCTATTTTACTGTTTGCAGTTCTCTAGTGTATTTCCACTGATCCTTTAATTTTTAGCCTTATTTTAATTATGTCTTTTGCACATAGTATACAGTTGGGTTTTTGTTTATAAGCCGATTTTAAAATATTTGTCTTTTGACAGATGAATGTATTAATTTCCTATGGCTGCAGTAACAAATAACCACAAACTGGTTGGCTTAAAAGTACCAAAATTCATTCTGGCACAATTCGGCAGGGCCATGTTGTTTCTGAAAGCTCTAGGGCCCATGTCTTTTTAATTTCTGGTATTTTGGCAATCCCTGGCATTTCTTGACTTTCATATATGTCATCCAGTTTGTCTCCATTGTAACATGACACTCTTTCTGTGTCCATGTATCTGCTTTTCCTCTGCTGTCCTTGTAAGGATGCCAGTCGTTTGGAATAGGGCCCTACCTAATGACTATCCTAACGATTTCTTCTGCAAAGACCCTATTTTCAAATATCGTAACACTTAGCAGGTACCAAGGGTTAAGACTTCAACATATATTTTGTGGGAAAACAATTCAATCTATAACAGCAAATTAAACTTGTTTACATTTATTCATAACACTGATCTCTTCTTGTGTTAATGTCTTATTTCTTCTGTGGTTCATAGTATGTTTTATTTGTAATTTTTTTCTCTCACTTTTTGTCTGTATTTCTCAAATTCTATTTGTTGGATCTTACACTTCTGTTTTTACTTTTGTTTTTCTAGTCCTTCTTTCTTCTATTTTCCATCTCATATCTTTTTGTTACATTTCCTGGGAGATTGCCTTCACATTATTTTCCATTTCTTCTGTTGATATTTTATTTCAGCAATCATATTTTTATTTTAGGGTACTCATTCTGGTTCTAAGTATGATTTTTATTTTTGTCATAGTTTTATGTTCTTTTTGGTTATATATGTACTGCCTTACCCACTGGTCTTAGTATATAATTAAATTTTAAAACTCACTGCTGTTCCCTGACTTACCTTTTCCGGTGGAGCTGTTTTGTTTGATTTTTGTTTTTCTTGAGGCATTCCACAGATGTCTCTTGATTTTTGGGTCTATTTTCATATTTAAAGAAGAGGCTGCACAAACTTCATTAGGTTTTATATGTGTACGAGGAGCTGTTATTCTGTTATCTGCCTCCACATGTCGTAATGGAAATGTGTGCTTTGAGCTAGCAGTGTAGACACTAATTAGTTTTCTCATTGTTGATTATCTAGAGGTCTTTTAGAGTAAAACACATAAAGGCAAAGTTTGATTCTCTTCTGTTTTCCCTAACACTTGAATCTGAAGTACACATTAGTGACATAATAGAAAAAATTCATAAGTAAAGCAAGCATCATTATTATTTTTTTTAAGTCATTATGATTTGGGTGAAAGTTTACAGAGCACATTGGTTTGCCATTCAACAGTTCATACATATTTTGTTTCAAGACATTGATTGTAATCCCCACAATGTAACAGCTCTCTTTTCACTTCTGCCTCCTGGTTACCTTTTTCCTGTGTCCATCTTTTATATGCATTCCTGCCTTCTGGCCTTTCTCCCTGAGAAAATGCTGCCCTTCTGATCTCCCATCGTTGATTGTTCTCAGGAGTGTACCTCCCTGGTGTAATTGTTCACCTCCTAGCCCTGTCTGTTGTTTGGCTGAAAGTTAAGCCGTGGGAGTGTGTTTATTTCCAGGCCTAAAGGGTGACTAGGAGGTTTCACCAATCTCTATCAATTTAGCCTGGTCTTTTTGATGATTTAGAATTTTGTTCCACATTTTTCTCATACTCTGTCCAGGATCTCCAATTTTGATCCCTTTCCCAGTGGTTGGCAGTGATAGCCTGGCACTGTCTAGTTCTTCTGGTCTCAGGGTCAGGTAGACTGAGTTTCCCATGGTACACTAGTCCTTTGGACTAATTGTTTCCATGCATGTTTAATTTTCTTCACTCTTCTTTTGCTTTGCATGAGGAGAGACCAGTAGTTGCATCTTAGATGGCCATTCATTAGCATTTAATATCTTAGTCACTACTCATCAAAGTAGGAAGGAACAATGTTTCAGTGTACTACGTTAGGCCAGTTGTGCTTGATGTCCCCCAAGATCATGATCCCAAACCCACAGGCCCGGTGACTCATCCCTTGAGGTGTTTGCTTGTGGCTGAGAATTATCAAAACTTTGTCTGCTATTGTTGAATATATGTGTGTGTGTATATACACATTTTTATAGTACACATACAAATATAGACATATCATCTTCCAAACCTATTTGTGGTCATGGATAATTCCTGTTTGCCTATCACTACATGATCTTCTTACCTGTCTACTTATGTATCCACGCATAGATTCATATTTATTATCATTGATAATGGAGAATTATGTATATAATAGTATTTATCTTTGTTGTCTGTATCTCTTATTCACCTATCCTTGTCTTCCTTTTCTTCAGTAATACAGTCTTGGTCACCTGCTTTTGGTATATTGCTTTCCCTTTACCCCAAAACAATGTGTCTCCTACCTTGCTGGCAGTTTTCCCTCCCGTCCCCTCCTGTCTCTTCTAATCAATAAACAAAGTTTCTTTCCTTATGTAAACCTTTCCTTTACTATTTATAACAGACTCATAGTAATTGCCCTGTGATTGACTTATTTCACTCAGCATAATATTCTTCATGTTCATCTACTTTATGAGGTGTTTCATGGATTCTTCATTCTTTAATGTTGCATAGTATTCCGTTGTGTCATTGTGTGTATATACCATAGTTTGTTTATCCATTCCTCTGTTGATGGGCAATTAGGTTATTTC